AAAGCTTTCTTTATTTATGATTTTTTCTTCCATCTTGTGTTTTTGATGTTTTCTGTCTTCTTCTCCTCTTTCATTCTCCAACATAGGTTATTACTAAAGAGGAGAAACCTCCCCTCCATTTTTCTTACTGATTGCCTCTATTTATGAGGGAGGATAAGGTCTCATTTTTGTTGGAAGGAAGATGAGTTCTGAATTTTCTGCCAGCTATCTCGGGAGTCAGATAAAGAAGCAAGTTCAGGTGTTTCGGTTGTGTACTTGGTGATCTCGGTGTTAAAGTTCCTATCAACATTCTCACCTAGAGCCCTCAGGCTTAGATGCTCGAGCAATATTTTTATCTTGGGCCTAGACTTTTGGGATTGGCTATTCAAGCATTATTTAAACCTTGTAGCCAATCATTAGTAGTGGCCTTTGCATGCCTCTGAGGCTCTGGAAAGTTGGAAACACAGTAATTTTTTTTTCTAAGAATTCGAGTAGAAAATCTTCGTTTAGCAATTTTCTTCTCTTATACTCTTATAATCCTATTTGCAAGAATTAAGAGGAAGAAATGGATGCTTGTGTAGTTTCTCTCCTCTGACGACAGCGTAGACGACCTAAACTCCACAAAAAAATAGTAGGGAACTTCTCCCTGGTGACCACTCCAGCAAGAGGAAGAAGCTTGAAATATTTCACTCCATTGAGCAAGTTTAGTGAGTGAGTATTTAAGAATATATTATCAATATTTTCAGGAAAAATGATACTTATACGCCTCGGGGTCCTCCATGTAAAGGGGGATGTAAACCCATGTATACACCGTTGTGTATGTGTAGCACTTACCTATTTTTAAATTCGACATGAGCATGGACTCCAAAGAGGTCAATGATATATTAAGGATAAAAGAAAAAAGAATACACATATATACTATAATCTTGAAGAGTTATATACTAGAACATTTGTTCCCAATATTCCCTCCATGTAATAGGTGTAAACTAGGGTGTATACTTTTATGTACGTATAGTATCTTCCTATTTAAATTTGATGGGTTATACCACTTGTACATCAAGTATCAGTATATCAAAGGTTACACCCCCCTCACATGGGGGGTGGGACCCACTGAAATAATATTTTTTTATTCGAGTGGATCCCACTCCCATGTGAGGGGGTGTAACCGTCGATGTAAAGTTTGATATACCACTAGTATAGTCCAAATTTGATATGAGAGTGTATACCCTTATGCACGTATAGCATCTCCCTATTTAAATTTCAAAGTGGTCAATGATATAATAAGTATAAAAGATCAAAGAATTCGCATATATATTATAATCTTGAAGTGTTATTTACACGAACCTTTGTTCCCAATCTCGATCGAGGTGCTGAGATGAAATCAACCAAAATAGTGTTCCCAGTCGTTACTCACTCCATTCAAGTGCTAGTTATGTCAATTCAGTGGACCGGAAAGAAGATATTACAACAAAATCTATTAGCCGAGTATGATCAACACGCGCCACCATTGGATGTGGGCAAGTCACCACCCCACTTAATTTATCTCTCAAACCCCAACAATCCGAACCGTCCATTCTCATCCCATAATCGTAACGCCAAAATCCTAGCCCTTAGATTTCGGGTCCCCATCCCTCTCATGTACTTCCCTACCCTTCTCGGCCGCCTATCTCCTCCATTGTTAAAGAAACAGAAAGTTTCTTCAGCAGGTATGGTTTCCAAGCCCCAGCTTAGCTATAGGCGTATTATAATATTTAGTTATTATATGTATATAATTCATTGACTTTAGTAAAATTTTTGCTATATATGTATATCAGTCAGCTCTTTCTGCAAAGATAGTTTGTGTATATGCCTGTGGTGTGTGTGTAAAAGTTTTACATACCGAAAGTCAAGATTTTCTTGAAGTTCTGAGTGTGCAAGGTGGGTTTTTGGGACAATGTTGGGTGGTGGAAATGAAGGGTCCAAAGAAAAGAAGAAGTCGGCAGAGAGTAAAGTTTATACGAGAAAATCATTCAAAGGGCTTAAGAATAGTAAAAATCTGTCAAGAGAACAACAGCCAAAAACTCAAGAAATGGTTCTCCAGGGGTTGAATATGATGAAAAGATTAGGTAATTCCAGTGTTGATGCTGCCTCAGATAATTTTTCGGGTTTAAATCATGATGGGTTGGTGGAGAATGGCGAGATTTTGAGGCCGGAGAATAGGGTTACTATAAATTTGTCAATGAAGTCGAAAAAGGAGGCGCGGGAGCTGAAGAGGAAGCTGGAGGGTGAGCGGAATATGGTTTGGAGTTTTATAAAGAAGATTGAGGCAAATGAGAAGCAAAAGAATGATCATGGGTTTGATAAGATTTCTGGGAATAAGGTGCCTGTGGGACCGCCTCACATATTAAAACCGTTGAATCAGTTGAGCGTGTCGGTAGTTGAGGATAGTCAGGGTGGGAGTGAGAATGTGGAGAAAGAGAAGAGGACTCCAAAGGCAAATCAGTTTTACTGTAACTCCGAGTTTTTACTCACAAAGGATAAGTTTCCTTCTGCAGAAAGTAACAAGAAACTGAAATCAGATGGGAAGAAGGGAGGGAGTGAATTAGGTAATAGTTTTGGACTGGGAAAGTTTTCAAATCAAATTTTGAAGAGTTGCAGTGCGCTGTTAGAGAGATTGATGAAGCACAAGCATGGTTGGGTGTTTAACAAGCCAGTTGATACAGTTGCTCTTGGTCTGCATGACTACTTTGAGATTATTAAAAATCCTATGGACCTGGGTACTGTGAAAGCTAAGCTGAACCAGAATGCATACAAATCTCCCATAGAATTTGCTGAGGATGTGAGGCTCACATTTCGGAATGCCATGACATATAATCCAAAAGAGCAAGATGTTTATATGATGGCTGAGCAGCTGTCCAAGATATTTGAGAACAAATGGGCGAGTATAGAGGCTGATTATATGCACAAGTTGAACCTTTCTGTAGATGTTGAAGTGGGTTCCCCTACACCTACATCTCGGAAGGCTCCTCCACAATCACGACCATTACCTGATATGAGAAGAGTTCTCGATAGATCAGAATCGATGACACATCCTATTGATCCTCAACGAAGATCTACCAATCTTGTTCAATCTGGCAGGATTGCTACAACAAAGAAGCCAAAGGCTAAGGATCCTAATAAAAGAGAGATGACGTTTGAGGAAAAGCAAAAACTTAGCATAAATTTGCAGAGTTTACCTTCTGAGAAGCTTGAAAATGTTGTTCAGATCATTAAAAAGAAGAATCCAGCTCTTTCACAATGCGATGATGAGATTGAAGTTGATATCGATATTGTTGATACTGAAACTCTTTGGGAGCTTGATAGGTTCATAGCAAATCATAAGAAGAGTTTGAGCAAGAACAAAAGAAAAGCTGAAATTGCTACTCAATTAAAAGATGGAGCTCAGCTGAATCCCCAGGAAACAGTAAGTTAACTTATTTGTTCTCCACCATCCGCACACCCCCTTCTTGAAGTTTGTTTATTTTATTGATTAATGCATTTTTCTTCCTTTTATGTAGATTCCATCTCCAGTAGTTACAGAAATTCCAAATGAATTTATAGAAAATAAAACAGGTAGAAGTTTCAAGAGCATGGATATCTTTTGGCATGTATTAAAAGCTGCGAACTTGAGGAATAATTATTTTCTTTCTTTTTCTATCCGTAACAGATGAAAAGAATGTTTCCTCGCCTCTAGCTCAAGTGGAAAAGCTGAGGGGTAATGATGCAAATCAAACAGCCAACTCAAGTGGCTCTAACCCTGATTCAGGATCTTCATCAAGTGGTATAATCAATAATTATTTTTTCTTATTTTTAGCGCTAGTTTTTGAGTAGTAGTGATGCAATTAATTCATGTTTTTGACGAAGTCAATCTGCTTCAATCACTGATTCCATTGTATTAATAACAGATCCGGATGGTGAAAGTACCTCAGGGTCTGGATCTGTTGCTGGACATTCTCCAAATAATTGAATTGTTGAGGTATAATATTCTTTTTACAGCCTTTTAGAAGCCCTGACTGTTTGTCTTTTGCTGGAGGATTACCCTTTTCTGATCATTTTATATGGTGCATTTTTCTAGTAAAGTCAAAGTTTTTGGCCTATTTGCGTGCCTTTGTTTGTGTGCAAAAGTTCTAGGGCATCTCTATTTAACCACTCACCATGATGTAGAGGAGATAATTTGGTTGCTTGAATCCAGGCACTCGATACTAAAATAATCTGTTAAACATGAACTACATACGACAATAATTTAGTGTCTTTTTTACCATGTTTGTAATTAGCAAATTATGGAGTGTTGGTAGGATATTGCCTAAAATGTAGGAATCTTTTGTTCGATTTCAAAAATCACGTTCCTTGGCATTATGGCACATTGCTTACACCTGTTTTAAATTATTCAAACTCTGTTTCTAAGAAAAAAATTGTTCTAATATAAAGTTGGGTTTTACATTATTCAACATATGTTTCTAAGAAAAAAATGATTTCTAACATAAAGTTGATATGATATTGATATCTCAACATGAATACTGCACATCCTTATTTCTTCTTTTACACAATTAGTGAAATGGTTAATTACTTTTGCATCTCAGTGAATAATTTAGTGTTCACAACTCTAATATGCATTTATGAATCATATATATGACTGAACATGAACACAATGACACGTTACTTATCAAATTATTAAGACACAGACACATCTTAGACATTTAATTTACTATTTCTTTATTTTTATTTTTTATTTTTACTTTTTAAAATTTTCAATAATAATAATTCTCATTTTTAATGCACTATTTTGGTTCTTTTTAGGTGAAATCTTTTGAATTTGAAGGATGACTATTTGTTGTATTGAGATATTGATGTAGAAGCAATTGAACCGAACAAGATCGAGGAATAAAGAGGAAGAGAGAAGAGAAGAAATAGAAGAGGGCGAGAATAAAGAATTTATAGAGAGAAAATATCTATTTATTCTATATTAAAGTCTAACTATTAAAATGTATAAGCCCATTTTATATAGGGTTTTAAATAGTCTAATTTAAGCAGTAAAATACTAGAAATTCTTTAAAATGACACCCGCAATATGTTTCCTAATAAAATATTAGAAAATCTATTTAAAAAAAAAACCTAATTACGTTTTCTAAAATAGGTGTCTAATTTGCAAAGTAAATTAAATAATATCTTGACTAGGATTCCCATCAGATATCTTTACATTCTACATTGTATTACTAGTGCAAACAAAAATGTTTTCATATATCAAAAGGGCATACATTAGATGTAACATTAATTCATAGTGATATAATTCTTTTGACATGCTTTGACTTTTTTACTCAAATGTTATAGTAATTGAAATTTGCTAAATTTATATTCAAAAATTACAAATGAGGTTTTCCGTGTCCTTAACATGTTGGACCCATGTTTCTCACATGTTGTAAACTAAAGATACAAAAAAAATAGGACACAACGTATTTATTTACACATTGGATTTGTGTTATGGTATGTATGCTTGTAGGAATTTTTAAATATTATAAAAAGTAGGACATTTAGCGTATCAAACAAATATCAGCATCTCCAAGACGTTTCAGTGTTCAGTACGTGTAACTCCAAATTCGACTCTAGGAGGAGTGCCCTAGCCCCTTGCTTCGTAGTTCTATAACATACTCCTTTACTATATGTTTGTGTTTAAACGTCACCAAAGCTATGTGCTTGTAGCTCATCTGTAGAGAAATGCTCAATCCAGCTTTTATAACTTGTTGATATACATATGGCAAACTTTTAAGATACATTTAACTTGTCCAGAAAGAATATATAATTAGACTTGTAGTCAGATTTGTGTGAGAGATGTTTGGAATGAAACCTTTTTTCTTTTTGTCATTTTAGTTCTATAGCCGTAAGTTCTTCTTTTTATCATGTTTTAGTTAGTTTTTAAGGATTTCACTGAGTTGGCATACTGATTGATGGTTAAAAATATGATCTAATTTGTGCTTGTGGTGTTTGTGAGTCTATTCTGTTTATGTATTTAAGAATCAATGTTTCAAACGGCAAAGGTGTGTGGTAAGGCATTTTACCCCCCTTGGACCCCACGTACCTCTTATCCCTTCTTAGGTGTTGAAAACTCCAGGGTTCTGACTGGCATTTGCAAAGCAAAGGAAAACTAGATGATATCTAACATGGTACAAGTTTTCAAATATTGGCAGAAGTGACTCCATTCTTATCCATCAATTTTTCCTTATTTTGTGGTAAATGACAAAACTTTGCCGAGAATTCTTTTGTTCCTTTCCTGGAATCTGTTGCACAAGGTTGACTTTATGGTGACCATATTTTATGAGAAACTATGGGCTGGTTATTCTATGAAAGGGAACTTTATTAGGGATATGCCAAGCTAACATGCACAGAGACAGACACATCATCTGCCACCTGCATGTTGTTTACTTAGGATGAGGCAAGTTTAGCTGCCGAGCTTACTCTAGCTCTTCTTCAATCTCTCCTTACTGCACCTTTGGGTTTTCAGGTTGTTGATTCATACAAACACACTTAACCAAACTACATTAAATGGACCCACAATCTCCAACAAACTATGAAATAATTGGGTCATACATGAGTCCTAAGATGCAATTGTTAATGTTGTTACATCATGGGTTTGATTCGACGTCTTATAGTTGATTCTTTAGAAAAGGAATAATAGAGTGAGGTAAATAGAGGACATGTTACATGCTGAAGATTGGTGTTGGATGACATTTGGACTATTGGTTTTCTTCTTCTTTATTTTATTTTATTTTGGGTAATTTAGGGGATTTTATATTTTCATCGAAACAAATTATCAATTTTTTTTTTTAGACTTGCAAAGTTCCTACAATATAGTAAGGATAATTCTTGTTGTACATCATCTTGTACATCAAGGTGTCCATAATGGACACCCGCACCCTCTCATTGGAGGGAGTGCCGACCCCACCAACCCTACCTCCAATGAAAGAGCGTCAGGTGTCCCATATGTAGGCCCATAAGTTAGTGGTGATGACCCTCCCTCCAATGAAAGAGCACCAGGTGTCCATTATGTAGACCTTTATGTTAGTGGTGATGTACCACTAGCATTACCCATATAGTAATAACTGGTGTTTGTTCAGCGAAAACCCCTGTTACAAATATAGTTTGCAGATGTCATTTTCTAGGCTCATTTGGAAGTTTCCTTCATAAGTTGAATAAAATATTTATGCAATTGGATGATGATGTGATAATCACAATCTTTTGTTTCTATATACTTTCTTTTGCGTTAGCTATTGGTTAGCTAAATAATAATGATTGAATTGGGTAGCCAAAAGTAAAGCTTTTGGTGCTACAACAAACAAGGACCCATTTGATCAAAAAAGCATTTCTGTGGGGATTTATAGAGTCCTTAAATAAGGATATAATCGTCTTTTCAACTAACATCTGACTTTTTAATGGTCAACTGGCAAAAATCATCTCATAGGAACAAGGTGCCGTGCTACAAACTTGAAAGATTGGGAAGTAAAAAGATTTGGAACCCAGTTGCACAATTTCAATAGGTTGGGAACCTCGCATTGCAATTTTCCCTTTAGGAAATTGTATTGTATTTTAAGTTTATTCAGAATCCTGTGTAATTATAGACAAGTCTTAGAATTAATAAGAATCCTTTTTGGAGAACCATTTTAGGTCGGTATATATATATTCTCGAGTAATCTCTTTATCACCAATAGATTTGACCCTTGAGAATTTAAGTGTTGTACATCAATTGTATGGATTATACTGGTGAGTTTTCAATACCTAACCAAGTGAATGAACTATGAAGGAATGCTTTCGCTACTGATAGAAAGTTCCATGTTTTATCAATTATAGTGACGTCCATTACTTCCTGTTAGATTGTAAATAGAAATGCAGTATATGATCTTTTAGCTGATTATTTTAAGGTGTCTAATAATGCAGTCGAGAAGTAGCCTACATGGTTGCTGAAATGTTGCAAGGGGTAGAGCCACTTTTTCTCACCATTTCAATTAAGAACCAGCAAGGCTCTAATGTTAAACATGGAATAAACCAATAGATGATTTTTCGTTAAGTGTTCATAATATTCCATCAGGGTTTAAATTTTACTGAAGCATTTCAGGATTGTAAAGCACCTAAGCTGTGATATTCTTCACCCAAGATGCTGAAAAGAATACCCTATTTACTGATGATCACTAAGAGGAAGAACAGTAAACTGCATTTAAAGCTGTGAACTGGTTTTTTTTCCTTTTTTCATACAATTAAAATGGTTAAGCATTGGAAACTTACTCTGGCATTGCACGGTTTCTAGAGGGCCGTGGTCATTGCTTTCTCTTGATATTTTTTCAATCTAAATTGGCCAGAGCCATTTACCATGATGTATTTTCGTCTGATCTCTGAACTCTGCTCGGCTCTTTTCTTCCTCACTGTTTCCATTTTGTACGTGTGCACGCGTGGTTGGGGGTTTAGTATGGGAAAGATTAGGGAGACTTGCTGCCTGCTGGCTGGCCATAAATTACAGTCATTATTAACATTTTTTCTCTTTTAATATGCAGATCTCAAAATTCACAATGACGATGGTGAAGCATCTCGGTCTCTATATGGTTCCAGGACTGTAATTACTTGGTGGACTCTTAACTTGCAATCTCGTAGTGGAGTAGGCGTGTGTCTTTGTGATTTCTGTTAACTAGTGGGGGTTTCCCTAGTGTAGGGATTTGTATTTATACTGGTAAATGTTGATAGCAGATTTGTATGATATTGGTAGATGCTAATGCTAGTCGTGTTTGTTTCGTAGCTTTTCTACATTGCTGACATCGTTTAGTCAGTTTGAATAATGGGTTTGGTCGTTTCATCATCGTTTTCAGGACATGAACCGAGTAATCAAGCATTATTCTCTCTTTTCTTGTGTATAAACTGTGTTGAAAATTAGAAACTTCATTTTCTGTGCATACTTTGAATCTTCTTTTGAATTGTAGACTGTTGTTTTAGGACATAAGCGTTGTAAGCACTACGTCGATTGTCACTAGGCTGTTTGTAGCTGTTTTTATTATTAACCAAATTTCGTCTGGTTCAATTAACTTTGCAACTCAATACTTGATCAAATGGAAAGAATTTAAAGTCGAGTTTATATATATATATAAACTCGCTTGAATCTTCTAATTAACCTATTACTTTAGTTCCAACTAACAATAATCGAGGTTTTATAAATTGCAACCCTCAAAACATTTCAACGAGGTAAGTAAAGACGATCTATTCACTGGAGGACCTCGTCGAATTCTTTCTCTAATCAATAAAAAAAATGTTTAAAAATTGATCTTGAAGCCATTTTTTAAGGAACCATTCCCTCCAACCAATCCATAACTGATTTGTATGGTAATCATCTACCCCTTTGTTAGGTGAATGCAGCCAATTCACATTATGACAAAGCTGCAATCCTAGTTGAAATTTGAGAGGACAAATGTATAATTCCAAATTAAGGGCTGTTGTTACTTGTTGCATTGCTACTTCCAGAACAGCCTTGGTGGGCCAGATTTACAGAAGGTTGAGGTGGCCCACACATTCCCAACATGGGGGGGGGGGGCATCCCTTGCATTTCAAGATTTCAAAATAATTGTTTTTTTTTTTTTTTTATCATGTTATACAAAATTATCTTGTTAATTACTCCAAAAGTAAAACTTTCAAGCATAGGCTACCAAAATTTCGTGTTAGTTCAACATGCTAAATCTGAGTGGGATTCTTGTTTCTTTATATTTGATTCAATTTCATTTTCACACCTTTTAAAAAAGAATCAAATTTATTGACATTATCTTGGAGCCATATACTTATGAACAAGTATCTTTGAGCTCTCTCTCTTTCTTTTTTCGCTAGAGTTCGGTAGTTGGCATACCTTAATTTTAGAAAAAATTGTTTATTCAACAATCGTTGTAACGAAATTATGAAACGTACATTGAAAATGACCATGATTTGTATTTTTCTTTAGCAATTATTTAGAAAGAAAGTCACACTTAAGGGAAGTTTGAAGTGACATTTCTTGAAAGTGCCCATTATGAGGGTTTTATGTAGTTTTGGACTGTGACTCTATGGACAAATGAATACATATTAAATTCATTAAATTGGAGGCCCTACATTTAACCTATCACTATAACAAGGGCCAAATCTATCACCATCTTATCTCTTTTGTGCTTTTAGTTCTTATTATTGGTGATTTGTGAGAGCTGAAATAAGTATAGGTTTTGAGATTTTGAAGAACTCTACACCTTTAACTGGCATTCATTTTACTCGGATTGAGATTCTTTACGCGAAAAATTTGAGTTAATTATCAATTCAAATAATAGATCCAACTAAATGTAAAGACATAGAACTTATGTTACTGAACATGTCATTCAATGACGTATAAATATGATTATTCATCACTATACTGAAAAATATAATTACAAAGACTATTTCTAACAAGTTGCCGGAGTCTTTCGCTCGAGCGAACTTCTCTTTTTCAACATGCTCCCGCTCGTTTGATTATTAGGGTCCGTTTGATTTCAAATGTGAAAAATGAGTAGAAAGAAAATGTTTTACAGGAAATTGTAATTAATTGTGTTTGATTGGTATAATTTTTCATGGAAAATGTTGAAAATTTGGTGTCCGTTTGACTTCTTTTTTAATGAAAATTGTCCATTGAAATGATAATGTTTTCTATCATTGGGTCTATAATTTGTTCCAATTGCAAAAAAAAAATTGAAAAAAAAAATAACCATACCGAATATCATTCGTTTGGCTTTTGTTTTGCAAGGAAATTGTAAATAAAAGTGAATTTTTTTTTTTTNNNNTTATTTTTTTTTTTTACCATTTTGTCTATAATTTTTTCCAATTGTCAAAAAAAAAAAAAAAAAACCTGGAAAATATTTATCCACCAAAATATAAAGAATTTATTTTCCTCAAAAAAGTGGAAAATTTGAAAAGTTAGAAAATGGAAAAAATGTTCCATGGAAAACGTAAGTTATCAAACGGGGCCTTAGAGTTCAATTTTTCTATATGAGAGTTGCCTTTCTTTTCTTTTTTTAATAAACATTCATGAGAGACTATCTTTCACTTCAATAGATTTCGAGCAAATTTTTTTATTTTATTTTATTTTTTTACTTTTTGACAATGTTCACAAATTTCATAACCAATTGTAAAAAGAAATTTCATTTTAATGGATAATTAATAATTTCCATGTAAAATAAAGTCAAACGTGAACAAAAAAATCCAAAATTTTAAAAATTTTTCGAGTGAAAAATTATACCAATCAAACACACTTAATTAACAATTCTCTGCAAAATAATTTTTAAACAATTACTTTATCTGAAAATCATTTTCTTTCCACCTTTAAAAATAAAGGGACCCTGAGCCTTTCAACTCTCTCTCTCACTCTCTCTCTTTCTCTCCCTTTGTGTGTGTATATACACACACTCGACATAGCATGCATGGTACAACACTAATTTGTTCAAACCTCGTCCTTTACTAAAAAATTTCTTGGATCAAAGTCCAAGAAATGGGCTTCGTGTTCAGAAGCCTGTTTCTCTCACTACTTTTCTTGTTTTTACACCAAGCACATGCTGACTTCAACTCCACCGACGGAAAACTCGCCGGCGGCTGCAATATTTTCCGAGGCAAATGGGTTTTTGATGCCTCTTATCCTCTCTATGATTTCTCAACTTGTCCTTTCATAGAAGATGAATTCAACTGTGGTAAGTACAAAAGACCTGATAAAATGTACCTCAAATACAGATGGCAGCCCTTCTTGTGTAACTTACCAAGGTAGGTGGACTCGACTTGACTTATTTTGTAAGATGTACTTGACTGGACTCGGCTTCTTTAAATTTTTTTGTGTTGTAGGTTTAATGGGGCGAATTTTTTGGAGAAATGGAGAGGGAAGAAGATAATGTTTGTGGGTGACTCACTCAGTTTGAACATGTGGCAGTCACTGAGTTGCATGATCCATTCATGGGTTCCAAAGGCTAAGACTACACTTATAAAAAGAGAAGGAATTTCTGCACTTGTATTCTTGGTAAATTGTGAACCATAGTTTTTTTTTTTTTTTGAAAGCTAAATATTTTCATTAACTAAATCTTCGAAATAAAACGAGGAATATAATCAGTCCAACTACGAACTAATCCAATTAAATGCATCTTTTTTCATTTTTGATGAGGTTGGGAACATGTTCAATCTGGCGAAGCTATTCATAGCCACTTAATTTCAACTGCTTGGTAAATTTTAGCCAAACTTTAGTGGCGCATTCATGTTATGTCCTTGTCTCTTTTAAGTTTGGGAAGGTAAACGTTTAACGTCATTGTATTCATTGAGAGTAAAGCCACTTTACTCAAAAATGATTGACACCTCGGGGGACCGACCATCATATTGCGCATGGGTCCAGCATGAATAAAATAATGTCCGACACTCGATGTGTGTCTGTTCGGTCATCCCCTATGTTCGTGTTCGTGTAGCATGGTTCGTTCATTGAATCCAAATTTTGCTTGTTTCACACCCCAAGAATTATTGTGTCGTAACTCCTAAGTGGAGTACAACTTTTCTTTATCTGTACAGCACAATTGAACAATACTATATAGTACAATGTGGAGCAAAAATTTCATTTTTGTTTACAATGCTGAAAATTTGTGATTGGTGATAGCGTCGATGACCTGAGTAGTGGTGGAAAGGTTAGATTTACGTGGAATTTGGAGGGATGGAAAATTAATCTATTATTTGTGAAGAGTCATGGACAATCAGTCCGTATGTAGCTCCACAATTGTGTTCAAGATGTCATCCAGTGCAGTACCGTCCAACAATTCATACATCCCTATCGAAGCCCATTTAATCTTTAGTAAAGGCTCTCCAATGGAATGTAGAATTTACTTTAGTAAGTCGAAGGCTTTTAGGAAATGAAAATAGATAGGCATTTGGAGTATGCTTTTAATTGGCTGGCTATATTCTTTCTTTGGAACTTTTAGGTGAAAAACTTTAGGCCCACAAATTCACTTTCATAAATATGCCAATGGTAGTTGTAGATTCACTTTTTTTTCTTCTTAATAAATGCACTTTCATAATCTTTTACTTTTGAATTACTTCTCATTTTGTTACTTTTTTGCGAAAATTAGATTCATTCAAAACTTCAACACCTTAAAGGCATGGTGGGATAGAATTTTTTTTATGAACCATACTAAACTAACATAATAGTTGACATAATATCGCATGACATCATATTGTTGGACTGTTTGAAACATCGTTAACTTTTCCATCTAATTTGCCAACATTCATTCTGTCAAAGCATCTGTTAACATTTTTACCTTCCGTCTAACAGTCGGGAGGGAAGAATGGTGCCTATTACTATGTGTTACCAGCTATGTCAAAGTAGCTTTTTCTTTTTTTATGTGGGGATGTCAAACATGGGTCTACTATTGTATGGACAACCATTTAATGGTCCACACCTCCTGTCATCTTTATTAGGGACATAATTCAATTTCTCATGAAAATCTTACTATTATTTGAAACAGGATTATGGAATGAAATTGCTATTATATCGCACTCCGTACCTCGTAGACTTAGAGAGCCAAAAGATGGGTCGGGTTCTCAAGCTTGACTCGATCCGAAACGGGGATGCTTGGAGAGGAATGGACATGTTGATTTTCAACTCATGGCACTGGTGGACTCACACTGGAAGATCTAAACCGTAAGATTGACATTTCGAAAATAAATCAAAAAAATTAATAACCACTTGTAGAACAAAGGACTCAATGGATTTTATTGCAGATGGGATTACATGGAAGAGGGAGGCAAATTGTACAAAGATATGAACCGTCTGATTGCTTATTATAAAGGGTTGAACACTTGGGCAAGATGGATCAATCGAAATATTGATCCTTCAAAAACCAAAGTGTTTTTCCAAGGAATTTCCCCCACACATTACGAGTAAGCATTTAATTTTCGTGCTAATATTCTTCCATACTCAATTTCACCCTAAATTACACGCTTGATAACAATATGTTCCATCGTCCTAACGAAGTTGACAAAAAAAATTGTAGCGGGTTCAAATGATCGACTATATTGGGTCTACGGTCTATAATAATATACTATCGTGATAAAAGGTTAACAAAAATGAGTTTCATGGCTCAATAGATAATTTGATAAGCTTATATAGAGAATTATAAAATAAAAAAAGAGGGGGTTAAACTAAGATTAAAATTGTTACTATAGTTTTATTTTTCTTTGGATCGTCGAACCAAATTGAGTTGTGAAAAATTATTCACGTAGTCGACCTTATCATACAACTGCAGGGGCAAGGATTGGAGTGAGCCATCAAAATCATGCAGTCGAGAGACACGACCATTCTCCGGCCTGAAATACCCGGCCTCCACACCCTCGTCCGCCGTTGTTGTAAACAAAGTGCTACGTACAATTAAGAAACCAGTATATTTACTCGACATCACATTACTCTCGCAATATCGGAAAGATGCGCATCCTACGTACTACAACTTGCACAAAGGGCTCGACTGCAGCCATTGGTGTCTTCCCGGCTTGCCAGATACTTGGAACGAGCTTCTCTATGCAGCTCTCTTCGGCTGAAGAACAGTGGTAAAAGATTAGAGCCAGAAAATTACTTCCTGTAAGAAAAAGATGATTGAATTGTACTATAGACTAATTCTTGGTATGAAAGTTTGCCTAAATAAATGAATTTACCTCAGATTCTGATTGTAATATGGTAGCAAGTTTGTTCTACTGTAGAGCATTGGTCATTTCTCAATAAATGAACACAAACAATCCTTGTTTTGTTTAAGATTGTTTCAGTGCTATCTTAACTTTAGATAGGACGGTTTCTGTCGTTGAGGTCAAATGTCATGATTTATAGTTTATATTTGCCGTTGTTCCGATCAACCACTAATTTTCTTCGTCTAATTCCGTCTTAGTAAACAAAACCTCAACCCGAGAAGGCTTGTGAGGTTACCAGGAACAAAGAATGAATCTATATCCTTGTACTGAAGTTGCTGGCCAGCAGTCACTCAACTTTCGTGCACAATGCTTGGTTCCGATTTGACAGAGGTAGAATGCTGATCGAAGGTCCAGTACAGTAGATAGCAGGCGTGTTATTTTGGCTTCCGAGCGTGATCCCTAATTAACAATTGCAGCTAGTAACTCAGAAGAGTTCAGTTGACTGGTTCCACCCCCCCAATACAATCCAAATGTATCACCAAACTTCTCAAATTCAATCCTCAAAAGCCATTTCCATGTTCTATCTAAACTTCAATTTACCAAACCCTGAATACTGGCATAGATAAAACAGTACCAAGGAAACACACTGCATTCTCGAAAAAATGGAAGCTTTTTACATTTACAAGTCTCATTATCTGCTTCAATATCCTTCTTTTGCGACTCGCAAATCTCCAGAATCTGCACGATGCCTTGTTTTAACCTTAGCCTTGACCTCTACTAACTTTCTGACGTCCGAAAACCTTGAAATGTTGAAACAATTGATGTATAACGAAAAGGGGAAGTGCAACATGTTTGAGGGACGATGGGTTTACAAGCCAATGGAAAACCGTTATATCATGCATCAAAATGTCCGTTTCTTAGCGATCAAGTAAGTTGCCGAAGAAATGGAAGGCCAAACTTCGGATACGAGAAATGGAGTTGGGAAGTTAATGACTGTCGAATTACTGGGTAAAGTCTTCATCATAATGTTTATATTTTGTTACGATTTCAGACAAAAGTAACACAGATTTGGTTTCCTCGTCTTTCTTCTTAAAAGGTGTGACGCTATAGACACGTTAGAGAGGCTTTGAGGAAAAAGGGTGATACTAGTTGGAGATTCACTCAACAGAAATCAGTGGGAGTCCATTGTTTGCCTTCTATATTCGGCCATTCCTTCTTCAAGAGCC